CGATCTCCACACTTTTAAAACCGAATGAATATTCTATGTATTATAATCTATATATCTACTAATTTTACTAAATCCTCTAAGTAGTAATCACGACTTCTACCTTTATCATCCAAGTTTCTTACTGCCTTACACAACTCTATTAAATATTCTGAATTCTTACCACTTTCACCACTGCTGGTTTTAATCTTTTCCCCAGTTTTTTGTATATCTTCTGGTCCGATAAATGAGGCATTGTCTATAGTTCCAATGTAAATTAATGATTCAATGATATAGTCTCCATTCTTATTTTTAGGTGTCTTCTGCATTACTTTATTTGCATTCTCCGAGTCATCACATACGTTTAATACGTGAAATGGCACCTTGTGCGTGGTATATCCGTCTTTCTCTCTGATATCCAAATACTCCTTCACTTTCGCAACATCCTCTGGACCAACATAATAGGCACATCCCCATACTTTCAAGTCATCCTCCTCAAGTTTGCTTATCTTATGTGTAATATCACGGATGTCTTCCTCGCCTAAATCTGTGCTAGAATTGGTCCTAGATAACAAATCCGTTTCTTGATCCTTACCACGGACCTCGTACATGTGTAAATCATTATGAAATTTACTATTCCTCTTCAAATCTTCCAATGACACCAATGTCACCACCCTTCCTGGTGCTTCGGGTGTGCCCCGGTGATCCGATGAGCTTTGCCAGAATCTCCGGATAAATCCTTTCAAATATCCACTCACCTTAAACTGATAATAAGGAAGCGGTTTAAAAATGAGCGATCCGTATCCTATTACCCACATACCTTCCTCTGAAGGTTTCTGTATCTCATCATTCGTCATATTGCTGATTATATCGTCGAACTATATTGCCTGTAATTCTTTCTCCAGTGAAAAAGAGTCTTCCATACATATTCGCGCACATAACCGGTACTTTTAGATTCCAGCCTAAAAGGTTAACTATATACAACTAAAATCCGCTACAAGTATGTATGATTTGTGTGCCTCATAACGAATAGCACTTCACGTTACAAGGTGTTACATATGATCAAGATTTTCAGTTTCATTTGGATTCTTTTAAAAATTAAAATACAATACGAAAAAAAAAAACAATCTTGGCAGAATTTTTGTGTCATTTTTGATGGAAGACGTTATCTTTGCACTAACTGATGCTCTTATATATTATTCTTTATTGAAATTCCAATTTTTATATCTCATAAATATAGCGTGGAAATTGAGAAGATAGCATAAACATGCCTTGGTCTCAGCTAGAGGTATGTCATTTTAGAATAAGATAGCAAGATTTGGTGGAAAATAAGAGGATTTTTCCGTCGGATGAGATAGTTTACAAGTGGGTTTAATACTAACAATTTTCTAGCTAGAGAAAGCACATATTGCTTATGCTTGCATTGGTATATTTTCAACCATTTTTTCATTGGTATCTTTATTTGTTAAAGAGAGATTGTATATTGGAGAAGCAACGGTTGCTACCATAGCAGGTTTAATCTTGGGACCGCACTGTCTAGGATGGTTTGAACCGGTGACATGGGGGAACAGTGACCATATGACATTAGAAATATGTCGAATAGTGTTGTGTATTCAAATTGTTGCAGTGGCAGTAGAATTGCCGAGGAAATATATGAAGAAGCATTGGTTATCGGTTGCGATATTTTTATTGCCAGTGATGACTTGCGGATGGCTTGTTGTTGGATTATTTATTTGGGTATTAATACCGCATTTTAACTTTAGTTCTGCATTATTGGTTAGCGCCTGTGTGACTGCTACCGATCCAGTGTTGGCAGCAGCCGTTGTTGGTAAGGGTAAATTTGCCGAAAGAGTTCCTGGTCATTTAAGAAATGTTTTATCGGCAGAATCTGGCTGTAATGACGGTATGGCATTTCCATTCATTTTTTTATCATTGAATATCATTCTTCATCCCGGAAATGCTGGTGAAATTGTCAAGGATTGGTTTTTGCTTACCATTTTATGGGAGTGTTTCTTCGGGGTAGCATTGGGTGTCATCTTAGGACTAGCTATGCGATATGCTGTGGCATTGGCAGAAAAAAGAAGTTTAATTGATAGAGAATCTTTTTTGGCGATCTTTGTCTTCTTAGCATTTAATTCAGCTGGTATTGGTTCGATGCTAGGTGTTGATGATTTATTGGTTTCATTTGCTGCTGGTACTGCGTTTGGCTGGAACGGAGACTTTGCGAAAAAAACTGAAGAATCTCATGTTTCGACTGTGATTGATTTACTATTGAATTTATCATTCTTCGTTTATTTTGGTGCTATTGTTCCTTGGCCAGATTTCAATAATGCTGAGATTGGTTTGAATGTTTGGAGATTAATCATTTTAGCATTAGTGATCATTTTCTTGAGACGTATGCCAGCTGTTCTTCTTTTAAAGCCATTTACTCCTGATGTTAAAAGTTGGAGAGAAGCGTTATTTTGTGGTCATTTTGGACCAATTGGGGTAGGTGCTATTTTTGCAGCAATCTTAGCTCGTAAGGATTTAGAAGCTCATTTCACAAGTGAGGAAACTCCTTTAGCGCATTTACGGGATAAGAGCTTTCCACATTACCAATTACTTGTATGTATTTGGCCAATTGTTTGCTTTATTGTTATTACTTCAATTGTAGTGCATGGATCATCTGTGGCCGTTTTAACTTTAGGAAAACGACTTAATAGAATGGCAATCACCATGTCTTTTACGACTACTAATACCCAAGATCAAGGGCCATCTTGGATGTCCCGTTTACAGAAATTGGACAAAGCATCCACTTCGTTTTCTTTGCATAGAATAGATACCCAAGCACCATCTACTGAAAAAGATGATAAATTACCACAATCTAACACTATAGAAACTAGTGGTATTAAGGTCAGACCAGCCGGTGGTGCAAAAAGAAGAAAACATAAAAAGAAGAGAGACACTAGATCAAGACTAAAGAAATCGCTTTCAAGGGCTTCTACTAACGATAGTGAAGCTAACGAGAACTTAACTCCACAAAGACATAGGCCTCAAGCAGAATTCTTGCAATTAGGTAGAACCCCCTCAACAGCCGTCAGAACACCATCTGATGAAGAGTCGGAACCTGAGTCAGCTGTTGGTGTTGATAATTCTAAGGATGATTTTGATGACAGCCCAGGCTCTTCAAATTCTATAGAGGTAGTTGCAAATGAAGATCAAGGTAGGATGGTTTTTGCTATTCCTCCCTATGGCACAAAAGAGAATTCTGAGGAAGACGCAGGTCAAAATGATGGTAAGGTCGCATTTGCGAGAGACGCAAAGGAAGGTCGTAAAAGCATACCGTCAACTGTATTTCAAGAAGGTGAAAAAATTATTATTGAAGATCAGACGGGTGAGGTTATTGAAACTTTACCTATTAGATCTTTGCCAAGCCAACCTGAAGATGATATGAGTATCCATTCTATGGGTTCCTTACGTCGTCATTTATCACAATATTCTGAAGCTGAAAGTGAAAGGGCTTCTACTGAAACTTCATTGAATACAAACGAAAAACCAAACTCACCTCTTGGAAAATTGTCAAGATCTTCAACCCTCAGTCTCAAACGTAAAGGAAAGAAAAAGGGCTTTTATAAGAAAAATGACCCAAAGCATCGTAAAGTATTTGCTCATCAAGTTGATGATTTCATCGTCATTGAGAATGCTGATGGTGATATTATCAGAAGGTATAAGGTGAATCGTCATTCCACGAGAAGAAGCAGATCTAACACTAGTAATTCGATGGTTGGTAAAGCATTAAATTTCGTTGGAATAAAGAAAAGCACCCCAAAAAATGATGTGAACGCAAATGATTTAGAGAAGAACGATATTGCTAATGTTTTAATCCCTGAACATGATGATACGGATAATCCAAATCATCCATTAAAAGACCCTAAGTTTGAAAATGCAATTGAATCCAAATTAACCAAAATTTTGTTGAATGAAAGAAATCAAAGCACAAATCTTTTGAATATTAACAATAAACCTGCGACTGTGCCGGAGGGTTCAGAAAGAGATATATCTGATGATTATGATTCATCCAGTGGATCTGAAGAGACTGATGACGAAGATGTAAATTTGGAAGAAACTGACATTGAGAAGAAAAGGAGATTGGCAGCTTTGGGTGAAATGCCGACTGATAGACGAGAAGAGGATGAAGAGGACTAAATATACTAAGATGCTGGTACAATAATCCAGAATTTCAAGATTCGATACTGTTTTTATTATTTGATGTATTATTTTAGGTTTAAGCAACTTTTATATAGTAAAGTTACATATTTTAATCGTACAAGACTATCTTTTTTCCACGGAATATAAACTAAATACAGTATAAATTAATGGGCAGCCTTAGGAGCATTGTTCAATTCCAGCAATGATTTTTCAATCGATTCAACACCCTTTAATAAGTCTGTTTCAGATATGATTAAAGGTGGTGCCAATCTAATTATATGGTCATGTGTAGGCTTAGCCAAAACACCGTGGTCTTTCATCAATAAACAGAGATCCCAAGCAGTTCTACCATTGGTTTTGGAATCATCAATTACTATCGCACATAATAACCCTTTACCTCTGACTTCTGAAATGACGCCATTCGATTTAGCCTTTAATTCTTCTAACTTAGAACGTAATAACTCACCTAATTTTTCGGATCTGTCAACCAAATTCTCGTCCTTAACAACCTGCAAAGCTGCAGTGGCAACCCTACATGCCAAAGGGTTACCACCATATGTTGAACCGTGCGAACCTGGTTCTAAGCACAACATAATTTTCTTGGAGGACAAAACAGCAGACACTGGATAAACACCACCAGAGATTGCCTTACCTAACAAAACTACATCTGGCTTAACATTAGCAGAATGCTCGTAACACAACATCTTCCCTGTTCTAGCAACACCAGTTTGAATTTCATCGCAAATTAACAAAACGTTGTGCTTCTTACATAAAGCTTGTACTTTTGTTAAATAATCTTCTGGAGGAACTACAATACCTGCCTCCCCTTGGATTGGTTCCAATAAAATTGCTGCAATCTTATCTCCAGCATTATTGAAAGCCTTCTCAACATCTTCGATTTCCCCATATCTCAACAAGGTTCCCTTTGGTTCACCAGGAATTTGAGGACCTACTCCGCGTAAATATGGACCAAACTTGGAGGTAGCTTCTGGATCAGTTGACATGGAAATAACCCCCAATGTTCTGCCGTGGAAATTGTTGACAGCCGATAAAATAATAGCTTCGTCCTCGGGAATACCCTTCTCAACGTAACCCCATCTTCTAGCTAATTTCAAACCAGTTTCAACAGCTTCAGCCCCAGTGTTCATTGGCAAAACCATTTCGTAGTCGAAATATTCGGTAATGTATTTGGCAAACACCCCAAACACGTCCGCGGAAAATGCTCTAGAGCATAATGTCAACTTCGAAGCCTGGTCGACCAATGCTTCAATAATCTTAGGGTGACAGTGACCTTGGTTTACTGCCGAGTATGCAGACAAGAAGTCAAGATATTCCTTTCCTTCTGGATCCCAAACATGCGCACCCTTAGCCTTCGTGAAAACTACGGGTAATGGGTGATAATTGTGTGCTGAGTAATCGTTTTCGTACTTGATAGCAACTTCTGATGATACGTTAAAGTTTGTCATTTTTATTCTATTTATTCTCTTATTGACTTAATATAATTGATTTTATTAAAATACATGCTGAAGTGCCCAGTTTATATATATATGGCCGTTTCGGTTTGAATTGCCCATTATACTTGGGGCCCCTCCAATCGGTTTTGACTTCACTTTCGGGAATCTTAAGCATTTTTGGTGAGAAATGGTCCTCCATCTATTCATTCAAAAATAGTATCTAACCGCGAAGGAACGAAATGTTAGAAACTGGGCAGGTACTTCCTAAATGAGAATAATTAGAAATAGATAATGTGCGTGTATATACCGCTAATATAGGCAACTTTCGTACAAGAGGGTTTTAAAATCATGAACTAATATAGTGTTAGAAGAGACAAAATATCACTTTAGGATAGTGCATCTAACATAAAAAGGAAGTAAAATGGAGACAGAGAATTTTAAGAGAGTAGCAAATCAAGGTATTCAACCACAGCATGAGAATAGCGATATTGCTTCTTTATCGACGCTAGGGATGAGAATAAGGAAGTCGGTTGCAGATGGCTATAATGTACCATCCAACAACTATAATGGATATAATGCATACGATAGGATGGGATATTCTAATCGTGGGGAATATAATAGAGTCGAACCTAAGGCTATTGGAATATTTGGGGGAAATCAGAATGAAAGCAATATAGATTTTGAACCGGCTAGAGTGCCCTTACCTACACATATGAGTCAGCCACCTGCATTAACTAATGCTGGATCAACCATCGGAACTTGTTCGAACTTGTCAGAATGGGAAAACAATTATGCAAACCATTCGCCAGCTATCACCACGTTGGGGGTCTTTGACCAAAGTTCTAAGGGTAAGAGAAAGTTTGATGATATTGATGAGAATTCAGCTTCATACGGCAACAGTGCTGTAATCGGATCTGGTGATGTTTCAGGTAGTGCAAACTATGATATGGGCACGGAATATTACCGGGCAAAATATGGCGAATTAAAATTCGACGAAGACTTTTAAAGCCAGAGTGCATCGTATTCAGTTCGTTTTGTAAATTAAGTTGAATAAGGCTATTTAAGCATAATTATATGTTCATTGATAACGCAGAGATTGCAAGTGATCGTATCGAAGTGATTATTGTATAGTCTCCTAAAGGTTCTCATGCTTAGAAGCTTAAGACTTTAGGATATGTTCAATTGCAAGTAAAATTAGTAAGTGACTATAATCAGCTTGCTTTATTTAGAGTATTATATCTTATATGGTAATATATCCTTAGCAGTGCCTTAATCTCTAAGAGTTATACTATTTTTGTATATGCAGGATGTTCTATCCAGCTGATCTAGAGTAAAATTTGTATCTTACAGAATAGCAAAAGGACTGTTTTATTCTTTACCAATAAATATATTTAAAGCCATTTAAAAGTAGGATTATCTTAAGAGATATTATTTGAGGGAGATATAATTATGGGAACAAAGGTTATTGTTTGGTGAAAATGATGCTTAATAATATAGGATACCACATTCTACTACCCTTTAGAAATCTCACAACTCAAGCAAGATTCCTCCAAATAATTCGGCTTTTCACTTGTGTTGCTACATTATCATTAATCATTGCTGCATTAATTGGCTCCCTTGCCAGCAGAAACATTTATATTGCTAGGATTAATTGTGCTCGTTTGGATGTTGCTAATGGTTTATATAACACTTTGAGAAACTCCGTGTCTTTATCCTCAAATATCCTTGGTGATGGGGAGGATAGTGTACTACCTGTTGATTCATCTCTAACTAACTCTGAAATATCAGTGTTAACCTCGTACGCAGAAAGTCAGGTTGCTAATGCGCCACAATACATTGTTACCTCCTTATGGAGCTGGTGCTATGGAAACTACAATATCACGCAACACGTAGACAAACATGGTGTTACTCATATAGAAAAGCATAACGATGTCCTTACCTGCTCGAAGTCTACGAAGAGGTATATTTTTGATTATAAAGAAGAATTAGAGTCGATAGGTTTAGAGAGTATTTTAGCATATGCATACCAGTCTTCAGATTTGGACGATAAAAAATACGAAAAGACGATAGCCAGAAGAAATAGTAAGTACAAATTACTTCCATCAGGCTTAATATTTGCAGCTAGTTCCCAGCTAGTTGTGTTGATATTTGGTTATGTATTGTACAGCAATAGGGGACCAGAAAAAGACCTTAACAAGTTCCCAGTCTTTGTCATGAATATTATAGCTTTGATATCAGTGGCATCATTTTTAAGTTTAGCTATTTCTGGTGGCCTTATTACTAATTTATTGATACAAGTTAGGGATGAAATTCTGTCTAACTTGGGAGATTATGGGATTGCATTACATTTTGGCACTATTTGGTTTCTGTTACTATGGTTGTCTTTTATCTTTTCATTGCTTTCAGCTATTTCTTGGGCTTTCCCTCTATGGTGTGCCAATCCACCGGATTTTGATGAAGATGAATATTATGATCAAATTCGCTATAGATCAGACAAAACTGACAATGAGGAAGCAGGAATGTCTGAATTGAATGGTCTTAGGCGTAATCAAAGTACTTCAAGTAAGCTTAACAGATTCCAAAAGACAGGTGCTAATGTATCTAGTGGCGTTCAGGATTTTGACACAAAGAATAATAATGTTGTTGAGGAAACAGACTTTTCTGATAATGAAGAATACGCGTATGACACTGATTATGTCTATAATGATGCGAATAATAGAAAATACGATGCGTATGGTGCGCAGAACGAAGACGAGTTAAGAAAGCTTGGAGAAACATTATCAAGAAAAATGTCTGTCCGCCGTTTAAACAGAAAGCTTTCTAGGAAAAGTCGTAAGTCATACCTCCCGGATGAAAATTATCCAGCATTTGAAGATGAATCAAGAAACTTATTGTATCACGACGTTAATATCAATAACTCACAATATCCTATGACAGAATCGATGGCTCACCATTATAGAGAAGAGACATTTGATGGCTACGTTAATAGTCACAAGCCAACCACGAGTGCTAGCACCATGTCCCTTGGGACATCAAAGAATTTAACTAAGCATATCAATAAATTTAGAGAAGAAAACGACACACCTACCCGGAATTTATCTGATAAATCTAGTGATAGAAGAAAGAATAATAAATCTCATGACTCAAACTTTAGGTCTAATTCTTTACAAGAGAGGCATTTCCAGCATAATACAAGGAACAATCCATTTTTGCAGACTGATAAATATGAATCCTTGCAAAATAAAAGAGATTCTACTGGTGATTCATTTTTGAATTTTGAAGAAATGGAAATCCTAGACAATAACAATTATATAAATAGAATTTAGTCAAGGCTAAGCCAATGTACACACTTCATCAAAAATCGCTTGTAGTTCGGTTTACAAAAACCGTTAGACTGCGAACAATCATTCCTCCACAGAGGATCATCAATATTTACATTCGGAATTTTCTGCGCGCCATTGCATTAAATGTTTATGTTTGTGAGTTCAATCAATTGATGAAAATAATCCTTTATTTCTTACAGCTATAGATGCAAATATGATATACGATAGGTCTCAGGATTCAGAAATTTCTCATTCCAGTTTATTCGACAGTTCTTCTTCTACGTTGGGTATTTCAGAGAAAATTGAGCTACAAGACTTTAACTTACATGATTGTTTACCTGAAGCAGATAATACCGACAAACGTGAGATATCCCTTTCCCCCAGTCTAAGTCTACGAGATTATGAAAACACTGTGAATTCTTCATTAATGGGACAGTTCTCAAACTCAAATGATGGATTTCACCCGGAGGAAGAGGCAATTGGTAGTTTTAGCCTGAGGACTAGAACTAAAAACTTTGCTAAATATGTTTGGAAAATGTTTTTTATTTCAATTTTATTGCAATTATTCTTAACATACTCTTATACAATGTTTGTTCCTCAGTTTTCTCTTCAATTTAGAGATGATTCGCCTGAAGCTAGAAGATTATTGTCAAGTATTTCAGAAGGATTAAAAATGATATCTTACCTCGCTAAGGATTTGAGTGTTACCCTAAACGATAATAACAATATCTTGAATGATATAAACTACATTGACACTATAGACACATTTTCAAACAATTACATTTATAAGTTCAATGCTATCCAATACTGCAGGTATAGCACAGCCAACGCTACTACAGAATGCGTCTCCACCAATGGATTAGATATCTTTACTAGTTTAGTAACAGATATTGGTCTCCAGTTAGGCAATGTATCCAAAGCTGAAGATCCTAGCAAACTTGCCAATTCATTAGTGACTACTTATTCTAATTTAGTTGACTCGCTTGACGAAATGAATAACAGTAAAAAAAACCGCACATTCGCATTAGCAGAAATAGATTTAACTACTATTAAAATTGCTCACAGTCTTAAAAAGTCCCAAAACTATGGGAAAACGATGTCATTATTATCGTCTCCTGTTAATTTCATGCATCCTATAGTATGGATGACACTCGGTTTATCATGTTTCACATTGTCTGGTACAAGTAAATTCTCGACCTTCAATCAAAGAAACTCATTCTGTTATTCTATTATTATAATGGTGTTTTTGGTTATCTGCTTTGGTATCACTTTCTTTAACTGGGCAACCACTGGATGGTACTTCTATCGAATAAGCAGCCAAATGAATAAAGTGAACATTGCTCGATTAAATTTTGGTTCAGGATTCTTTATTCTGACATCGTGCGTTTGTCTCTATGTTGTATTATTGTATCAACTAAGACAAGTATTACGTAGCAAAAACTAGATATATTTTTAGTGAATATTTACCAAAAAAAGGTTGGTATGAACTTTTTTATTGTAGCGCGGCCCAATTTTTTGCGGCAATCGATTGTTCTTGAGGTTGCTTCAAGAGTCAACAATGTATTGAAATCAACTACTGAAAAGTCTCTAGAAAGGAGGTTTTCTATATTAGATCATTAAAAGAATTTATAGTACTATAAAGTAGTTTTTAATTAATTTTTCAATTAATTATTTTTTGTATTTTGCAATGTTTTTCACATTTACCAAAATATGTGAGAAATACAACAAAATTAGTTAAATATTACTATCAGGATTATGTTATGTTTTCTACAATTTCCTCTAATCTTTAAAAATACTTAACATGTTATTCATTTATTTTATTTTCATATATGAAGATTACCATTATATAATTAAGAGGACTCAAAGACTGTCTTGAAAGCCTGTTCGAAATCTTCAATAATGTCATCAATAAATTCTGTACCTACAGAAACTCTAATTAAATCCTTCGAAACACCAGAAGCAATCTTTTCTTCATCACTTAATTGTTGATGTGTAGTGTAGTATGGTGCAATGATCAATGTCTTGGAATCACCGACATTGGCCAAGTTAGAAGCAACTTTCAAATTATCAACAAATTTTGGACTTGCTTCTTGGAATGGATCTTCTTTATTTTCACCTAAATCTTTAACACCAAATGATAAAGCACCACCATAAATATCTTTATTATTCAAGTATTTCTTACTTCTTTCATGGTACTCGTGTGATGGTAACCCTAAGTAAGAAACCCATTCAACGTAAGGTGATTTTTCAAGGTACTGAGCTAATTTCAAAGCGTTGTATGATTGTCTTTCGACACGTAATGACAAAGTTTCTAAACCTTGTAATAATAAGAATGAACCAAATGGATTTAAAGCTGGACCCAAATCTCTTAACAATTCGATTCTAACATGGCCAATAAAAGCAGCCTTTCCTAAAGCGTCATTTAAGACCAAGCCATGGTATCCCTCGGATGGCTTAGAAAATTGAGGGAATCTTTCTGGGTGTTTTTCCCATGGGAAGTTACCAGAATCTATGATAACACCGGCGATGGTGGTACCGTGTCCTCCAATCCATTTAGTAGCAGAGTGGACGACAATATCTGCACCGTGGTCAATTGGGTTAACCAAATAACCACCAGCACCAAAAGTATTGTCAACAACAACTGGAATACCGTGATCATGAGCTAACTTACTAATTGCTTCAAAATCTGGAACATTGTACTTTGGGTTTCCAATTGTTTCTATGTAGATAGCTTTGGTCTTTTCATCAATAAGCTTAGCAAAGTCTTCAACCTTGTCTCCATTAACGAATTTAGCTTCAATTCCTAATCTTTTGAACGCAACCTTGAATTGATTGTAAGTACCACCATATAAGAAAGATGTAGAAATGAAATTATCGCCTGAATGAGCAAGACCTGCAATAGCCAAGAATTGTGCAGATTGACCGGAAGAAGTAGCAACTGCACCAACACCATGTTCCAAAGCTGCCATTCTCTGTTCAAAGACATCGTTAGTTGGGTTCATAATACGCGAGTAAATGTAACCGGGGGTTTCTAAACCGAATAATTGAGCACCATGCTTAGAATCATCAAAGACGTATGATGTAGTAGCATAGATTGGTGGTGCTCTAGGCTTGTGAGGTTTCTCAACTGGTTGTCCAGCGTGCAATTGAAGTGTATCAAAATGTGAAGGCATTTTATATTAATTATTTCTTTCGTTTCCAAGCTCAGAATTTTAAAGCTAAAACCTTATATGTTAATGTATTTATACCCTTTAATTATGACAACATAACTCCGATTATTATATTATTCGATTAATGTTGCAATTTATGTGAATAACACGTGATAATTTTTATTTGACGTATAAAGGTTTGATAGACAGTTTATAACAGTTGTATATGGTTCGAGTGTTGACTAGTTGGCCAATATTTTCACCTAGGGGCATAGAAGATAATAATTTATATGTATACATAGGGTGGACTAAATTCATGTATGGACTGATACAAATATTTCAACGCACTTTTATTCTAGTGTTCGAGTACACAATTAGAACAATAGCTAACGAGATTTATGGCCAAAGAGTATAAGCAGTGTAAAGGGATTACGTCCAAAGGCATACAATGCAAAATAAATGCTCCTGAAGGATACTGCCATTATCATATAGCACAACGAGACAAAAAAACCAAAATAAATGCTAGTCCAATAAAGGTTCGATCAATCAATGGAAATGGAAGAGAAATACAGGGGAATACAATACCACGAGGTACAAGCCCCACTAAACAGACGGAGAAAAATGGCTACATTTATGTCTACACATTAACTCGATTATTGAGTAATAATGACAAGGATTGGTCTCTTAAAGTTAGAAATTTGCCCAATGTTTCCAGTAAACATAGAGATACATGGATTCCTTTTAAGTCCGAAAAATCCCCATATATGTTAATCAAAGTGGGTATGACGACACAAACCGTACAGCGTAGATTGAGACAATGGCAAGACAAATGCCACCATGATTTGACGTGCTTGCATCCACATAAAAAGATCGAATCGTCAAGTAAAATTGATCTGATAATCTATAGATTTAGAGGGTTGTCTATAAAGAAACAACCAGTGAAATTCCGAACATACAGAGAGGAGCAATCTGGATTTCAATGTCCACGAGGCGTTAATGTAGCCGAGTCTGAGATCCATAGAATGCTTATAACAAAGTATGGAAGTGGAGATGTTTATTGCACTGGATGTAAAGGAGTTTCACCCGTTGAAGACAGTTCAAAATGGAAGTTGTTTAATCATAAGCTGCATTCGAACGATCCGTTTCGAGATGGATACAATATACATGTTGAATGGTTTTTAATACCTAAGAAAGATCTTGAGAGAGTATATCAGTTAATCGATACAATATGCTCTAAATACTACAACTGATTCGTAAATAAAAACTTTTATTTTAGAATAATACACTAACAACTAACTATTTTCGAAGTAACAACTCAAATGTAAAAAAGATACCACGAAATGGATCTAAGTGTTCATATAAGTAGATGGATCAACACCTTCTTCTGGGAACTCGGTAATTTTAACATCGAATCTAGATTGAATTTTTTCTAAGACTTCTTCATCATCCTTGGTTGAAACCAAAGAAACAGCTAAACCCTTAGTACCAAATCTACCAGCTCTACCAACTCTGTGTAAGTATTGATCGGCTTCGTTTGGTAAATCGTAGTTAATGGCTAAATTGATTCTTTCGATATCAATACCTCTACCAAAGACATCAGTAGAAACACAAATACGCTTGTTGAATTCCTTGAAAGACTTGTATCTTTCAATTCTTTCCTCTTGTGGCAAACCAGAATGAACTGCAATCGATGGGAAATTAGAAGAGCATAATAATTTATTCAATTCATTAGCTCTTTGGGTGGATCTGACAAAAATAATAACCTGGTTGAATTCTAAAGAATCTAACAAATCAGATAACTTTCTATTCTTTTCCTTCTCATCTAACTTAATATAGTATTGTTGCAAACCGTGTAAAGTCAACTTAGCTTCATCATCAACATAAATCTCCAATGGGTTTTGCATAAATTTCTTACAAACTGGACGGATATCTTGAGATAAAGTAGCAGAAAACATCATAACTTGCTTTTGGTGAGGAGTGTTACGGAAAATGTCTTGTACATCTCTTCTCATGTCAATAGCTTCCAAAACTTTGTCACATTCATCAATAACAAAAGACTTGATGTTGTTTAAACGAATAGACTTTTCGGTAACTAAGGCATGTAATCTACCTGGAGTTGCAACAACAATATGAGGACAAGTATCTTTGTTCTTCAATTTTTCTAAATCTCTGGTAATTGGGGTACCACCATAGAAAACTTCAGTCTTGACGTCTGGCATATATTTGGAAAAACGAGAATATTCGTTACGGATTTGGTAAGCTAATTCTCTAGTATGACAAATAACCAAAGTAGAGATTTCACCTGGAACTGGGTCTAATTGCTGTAAGGTGGATAAAACAAAAACAGCAGTCTTACCTAAACCCGACTTAGCTTGACATAAAACGTCAGTACCTAAAATAGATTGTGGGATACAAACTTGTTGAACTATAATAAAAATTTGTTAGTTTAAATGCTTAAGTATTCAAAGAATTTGAAAAGGAATGATGAAGCTAGACATGCAACGTTAAATTGGTTCTTCTTTGACCAAATATGAATAGTACACAAATGCTCTAATTACGCATTCTATCACTATCCACATATATATTACTTTCTTTCGGCATCTTACTATGGGACCTAATTTAGTTATCTCACTGCTAGTTCAAAAGACTAATCAGTCAACTTTTAGTTATATCATCCTTATCGAATACACGATAATGATGCTAATGCTAGGGATCCGATACGAGTCTATACGACTTCATTCGATCATATTCGGCGATAATAATTGCCCCCGAATCTAATGCATTACAATAGTAAAGAAGAATGCAATTTAACGAAAATGTCAAGGATATCACGCCAGTCTTTTCTTTATTTTCATGAAATCAATTACGAACCTTCTGAAGGATGTTCGAAACCACAGTCTCCAATGGCTCTCAATAATTCTGGCTTCAACAAGAAATCTCTGAAACCAGTAGCATGAATACCAACATAAGAACCCTTTTTATCAGCTTCTTTGTCGTTGGCGCCTTCACCAGCAGCAGCATTTGGTGCTGTAGTGGATGGAACGGCGATTTCTTCAGAATCGGAGTAGTCTAATAACTCTTCTTGTCCTTCGTGTGACATTATTTAGATTGATTTATTGATATATTAGTATCAATTAAACGTAACCGCTAGTGGTGGTAATTGTTAATTTGTTCAATTGTTGACTTTTGCTGGCAGATTTGACGTGTACTAATCATTTATATATTTCGGTAATTACACTAATGATTTCATCGATACAACCTGGGACTATTTAACAGTACTAACTGACGAATTTGCACGAATAGTAGAACAGCCGTACATATACAAAACATAATCCAGAATGTTAAGACTCACTTTTGGCAAGATCCGTAGTATTTCCATAAAAAGCACTCCAATTTCAAGGAACATAGCGTCTAGACACATTGCAGCTGCTAAAAGACCTATTGCATATCAAAGAACATATGCATCATCTTCCAAGTCAGATGAAGTACTGGAAGAAGCTGAAAGAGTTAGTAACGTTATCAACGTATTCAGAGAAAATCCTGAAATCAGATCATTATTGGATGACTTTCAAAATTTATTGGCTGAAAAAGGTCTTCAACCAGATGGCAAACAGCCATCAATGTTTCAAATGATGAAAATTTTGGCTGATAAAGATGTTAAAGCATCATTGTTGAAGCTTAAAGAGGCGTTAGATGGGGCTAATATACAGCTCACACAAGAGGATCTTAATGCATTCATGAATCTTTATGGATTGAAGAAATAACTACGGAAACAGATATAGATTTTATAGTATATCCGTATATATTAAATTATTGAGGCAATTATTTGGACGGGACTATTTCTTTTTAGCAAAGGAGGCGGAAATATTAGCAGCTTCTTCGACTGCTCTCGCAATACCTCCTCTAACACCAGCATCTTCCATTTTTAATAAACCACCAATTGTAGTTCCACCAGGTGTACAGATTTTACTTTTTAAAGCGGCAGGATGTTCACCAGTTTCTAAGACCATCTTTGCGGTACCTTCCATAACTTTTGCGGCGGATTCCTTGGCCACAGCATATGGAAGCCCCATTCTAATACCGCCATCAACTAATGCTTCCATCATTAACAAGCAAAAAGCAGGACCTGATCCAACCAATGCTGTTGCAGCATCCATATTTTTTTCTGGTAATTTCATGGCTTTGCCAACTGGATCAATCAATTTCATGACCAAATCAGAATATTTAGGCTCGGCTTCGGCTGAGAATGAAACAACTGCCATACCACATCCAAACTGAGCTGGAGTATTAGTCATAACCTTGGCTACATATGGTGACATAATACTTAATTCTTCAATAGTAGTTCCGGCTAATAACGAAATAATTAATTGATCACCACTTAATGAGTCTTTGACTTGTTCGTATACATCCTTGAACATAAATGGTTTACACCCCAAAATCACAATATCTGCCTTTGCAACTGCTTTGTTGTTCGACTCTGAACCAAACGATGTTTCTATCAAGTCACTGTCTAATTTTGATTTCAATTCAGACGACAGTTTTTCTGAATTGGTACAGCAGATAATCTTTGATGGGTATGGTTCAAACTTAGCTTTAATGATGGCTGAAGTGACAGCAGTACCCATGACACCACATCCTAAGACAGTAATTGTATAATCTTTCATTTCGACTTATCAATTGTTCTAAAATTGAATAATTTAGGGACTTATAATTTTCACTTTATAGTCAATAAATTCGTAATTCTCATATTTCGATAATCGCTTGCAAATTCCGTTTACGTCTTACAAGTACTAGAATTTTTATATGAAAAATACTTTGACTAAACACTACAACACTATAATTACACCAATTACTACTGCTAAATTGCCAACCCTGTTGATATGAACCCCTTATTAGGCTTTTGAATGATTTATTGAAGAATATTTCAATAGGCTGTAACAAGGGCACACAACGCATTCAGTACGCATTCACCGAATTCTTGAACTGGCGAAATGAAGATAATTCAATGTAGGTACTTTATTTCTTCCAAGGTAGCTTAGTTTGGTAATTTGTTTATTCAAATACACATATCAGGTACTATATAAGCTATATATTAGAGCTACATTATTATTATAATCCTGGGGTTGAAGTTGCAGGATATAATCGAATCAAAAATTATTCATTGCTTTATCAGATTACAGTGCGATTACCGATATCATAAGACTGTTTCAACTTTTCATAAGGTTTGAAGTGGTACTATTAGTATTGACTAATTGTTGAAAGAGAACCGTGTCTCTAATAAAGAGAAGGTAAGTTAATATTTTCTGTAAAAAAATTCAGATTTTGCTTAAAAATTTTAAATTATTTTATTGCAATGACATTTAATAAGGATTTGCTCGTACCATGTCCAGTCGTAACTCCTAGTATGGAGGAGTTTTCGGATCCCATTAAGTACTTATCCAGCGAAGAGGTTGCAAAATTAGGGTCTGAGTATGGGATAATTAAAGTGATACCTCCAAAAGGGTGGAAGCCAACATTTCTGATTTCGCCAGAGTTCAGATTTCACACCAGATTACAAAAGCTTAGTGATCTTGGACTTACTACTAGAAGCAGAAAGTTCTTTATTGATAATATTAATCGATTTATGAAGATGAGTAGGAAAAGACAACTAAAATTATATTTTAGGGTGGGACTAAATGACGCAAAAGAATTCAGCCCAACAAGACTCAAAGTTTACTATTACGATCTACATGTAATGGTTGAGAAGATGGGTGGGTATGACAATATGAATGAAGATAAATGGGCGCAAATAAATGACCATTTTGGAATAAAAAAGGATTCTACCTATATTGAAGACGAATATTCAATTAATTTAAGATCTTATGCTAACTTTCTTTCATACAACCAAAAGAACTATGATTTCCCAGAGAGTGATTCTGAAGACGATTACGATAACTGCTTGATTTGTGGAAAGCATGACAACCCATCGCAAACTTTACTATGCGATAATTGTGATAATCCGTTCCATTTGTCTTGTCTTGAGCCTCCATTAGAATCTGTACCTGCTGGTAGTTGGTATTGCGACAAATGCCTTATTGGAACCGGAGAATATGGCTTTGAGGAGCAGGTAGATTTGAAGTATTCAATACCCGAATTTTATAAATTGTGCAGTGACTTCGAACGAAAATTCGAGAATGAGTATAATAATGGCGAGCCATTATCAGTAGATAAGATAGAGAAAAAATTTTGGGAGTTTATAGATGTGGAAAAATCAGACTTAGAAGTGAGATACGGTGCAGATATACATAACTTAAAACCTGGACAAATCAGTGGGTTTCCAATGGCCAATACACCAGGCTTATCTCCTGAGGATCCAGAAACTAGGTATTACATGAATCATCCTTGGAACTTAACCAAACTACCTTTTGCGGAAGGATCATTATTGAATTATATAAATACGTCAATATCTGGAATGACAGTCCCATGGATATATATTGGTTCTTTACTTTCTACATTCTGCTGGCATGTGGAAGATCACTATACTTTGTCTGCTAATTACTGTCATTTGGGAGCAACAAAAAAATGGTACGGGATCCCTTCTTATGATGCTGATAAGTTTGAGAAACTAATGAAAGATTCAGCTCCTGATTTGTTTCAAAAACAGCCTGATTTGTTGCATCAGTTAGTGACGCTATTGTCACCAATGACGCTAGTTAAAAACGGAATAAAGTGTGTTTATGCTGATCAGCGCCCCAACGAATTTGTGATAACATACCCGAGGGTGTATCATGCGGGCTTCAATTGCGGCTTCAACTTTAACGAAGCGGTGAATTTTACAATGAACTTTTGGCTTGGGTTTGGAGAGAAGTCGATCAGCGACTACAGGCTTATTAAAAAGGAAAATGTGTTTAATCATTATCAATTAGTGGAAAACATATTAAAAAAGATCAACGCACAAAACCACATAGACCATGCAACTCTTAGATTGGCTGAGGCCAGTTTGAAATGCTTAAAAGATTTTGTTCAGTCACAGTCGAAGTATCTCAGCATGATTGATACCAATAAGTTTGAAATCAAAATCGAACCCAAATTGTTCAAGCAGCGGAAATTCGAGGATGAGCAGAACGGCACCTTTGCACCTACATCCGAACAGGAAGATGAAGAAGATTTATGTGATATTTGCAGGACTCATATATCTTTCCAATATTGCATCATCAACAATAAGAGCCGCAAATTATTCTCGACGCATGCGATCACCGGCGAGTCGCTTGCTGCTCCCTACACCGCTCCAGATACCCCCCTGATTAAACAGGAACAGCCAGATTACCCCAAGATTTCTATACACCAGCTTCTCACTCCCGAATCATCACCCCACGAGCTTCTGGTACCCCAGACTATCCCCAAACCGGTAAACCGTATGTCTGACTCATCATCGGCTACTAAACTTTTGGCCCTTACCGACCCATCTACCACAGACTCGCTGCAAAAGCTCAGTGAAGAACAGGAGTTCCAAAAACTCATTCATGCAGCAAAACGTTCGTCCTCTCCAGACACCAAGACTACCTCCAAGAGACGCAAATCCTCGCGAATCGAGACGCTCTCCAAAAAAGCCCACACCATATCCTTCACCGCTCGTACCTCTCGTGATCCGCGTCGCGGCAAAATGGCTGCTGTTCAAAACAACTCCCATTTCAAGCACCTCAACGACAAGCCCCAGATACGACTTTGTCTCGCTTGTCTTGTATCGTCGTGTCCCAAGTCCATACCATCCATCCCTCCGGGTTCAATATTGTTGTACGAGGTGTCTCCATCTACTATGGAACAATTCATAACCGAAACGTCCCACGAAATAGCTATTCTCTCTACCAACGTATAGTCTGTTCAATACATATTTTGCAGTAAATCCAAACTTAGAACGGTTCCGGCAATTCTACATCCGACTGCATACAGTCCAAAACGAATTTGAACCGGGTAATCCTATTTTTTGCCCAATAAAATTATCGTTTGGATCCGGAGTGCGATCCACTGGCAATACGAGACTTTGATTGGTGGGAGCGGTCGTCGAGGTAAAATGTGTGCCAACCATCGGTGTTACCATATTAATTTGATTTTAATTCTCTGAATCTTTGTTTCTTATTTAAAGAATACTTGAATACGTTTAGTCTTTAAATTACCAAAGTTAATAACGATGGTTTTTCCAAGATTGTTTAACTCTGCTTCACGCAATGCTTTCACTGCTGCTAAGCGTAACTTTGTTTTCAACAGAGGTTTAGCTTCAGCAGCTCCAGTCGCCGGTAAGGTTAGGTATGTAAAATTTTTAAGATGAAAAGTCAATCAATCGGGCGGGTACAGTCAATTCAAGCCATTGGGGAAGAATGAAGAGTATTGAGAGACGAATAGGGCGAATTGACGGTGCCTTTGACCGATTTGATGGTGCAATTGGTATGCACGGACGCGAGAGGAAAGAAGAAGTGGAAATTGATACAACGGGGCGGGTGGAAACCACCAAAAGAAGAGAACATCACTAGTGAGGGATGATGGATCCAATTCGCTGCGTGAGGAATGAATAGAAGTGATGGGTGTAGAGTAGACGGCTAGGGGGCCATATAGGCACCTAGTCGAGCTCGACCAATGAAATTTTTCACTTTTCGCGATCCGGGCCAATAGCATTTTGCACCGTGGTGGAGATTGGCACCACAACATAAATATATTTATGGACGATTATACTAACTGAGTGAATTATAGAGCCGTTATTGGTGCTGTTGTTGATGTCCAATTCGAAGAAGGTAACTTACCAGCTATTCTTAATGCTTTGACCCTTAAGAACGGTGACAATGACTTAGTCTTAGAAGTCGCCCAACATTTAGGTGAAAACACCGTCAGAGCCATTGCTATGGACGGTACTGATGGTTTAGTTAGAGGTGCTCCAGTTAACGATACTGGTGCTCCAATTTCTGTCCCTGTTGGTCGTGAAACCTTAGGTCGTATTATTAACGTTATTGGTGAACCAATTGACGAAAGAGGACCAATCAACACCAAACAAAGAAACCCAATTCACGCTGAACCACCATCATTCGTTGAACAATCCACTGCTGCCGAAGTTTTAGAAACCGGTATTAAGGTTGTCGATTTATTAGCCCCATACGCTAGAGGTGGTAAGATTGGTTTATTCGGTGGTGCCGGTGTCGGTAAGACCGTTTTCATTCAAGAATTGATTAACAACATTGCTAAGGCCCATGGTGGTTTCTCCGTTTTCACCGGTGTTGGTGAACGTACCAGAGAAGGTAACGATTTATACCGTGAAATGAAGGAAACTGGTGTTATTAACCTCGAAGGTGAATCCAAGGTCGCCTTAGTTTTCGGTCAAATGAACGAACCACCAGGAGCTAGAGCTAGAGTTGCTTTAACCGGTTTAACCATTGCCGAATACTTCAGAGATGAAGAAGGTCAAGATGTCTTGTTATTCGTCGATAACATTTTCAGATTCACCCAAGCCGGTTCTGAAGTTTCTGCTTTGTTAGGTCGTATTCCATCTGCTGTCGGTTATCAACCAACCTTAGCCACTGATATGGGTTTATTACAAGAACGTATTACCACCACCAAGAAGGGTTCCGTTACTTCTGTCCAAGCTGTCTACGTCCCAGCTGATGATTTAACCGATCCAGCTCCAGCTACCACCTTCGCGCATTTAGATGCCACCACTGTCTTGTCTAGAGGTATTTCCGAATTAGGTATTTACCCAGCTGTCGATCCATTAGATTCCAAGTCTAGATTGTTAGATATTGCTGTTGTCGGTAAGGAACATTATGACGTCGCTTCCGGTGTCCAACAAACCTTACAAGCTTACAAGTCTTTACAAGATATCATTGCTATTTTAGGTATGGATGAATTATCTGAACAAGATAAATTAACCGTCGAAAGAGCTCGTAAGATCCAAAGATTCTTATCTCAACCATTCGCTGTTGCTGAAGTTTTCACTGGTATCCCAGGTAAATTAGTTAGATTACAAGAAACTGTCAGATCTTTCAAGGAAGTCTTAGACGGTAAGCACGATCACTTACCAGAAAATGCTTTCTATATGGTTGGTGGTATTGAAGATGCCACTGCTAAAGCCGAAAAATTAGCTTCTGAATCTAAATAAGTCTAATTGCTCCTATGAAAGAAAATGATATATGACTTGAAGTTTAATTTATTTTGACATATTATTCAGTTTAGTTTTTGATAAAAATATTACGTTTATTTAGAATTGTAAATGCAAAAATTTATTATATTTTTCTAGTGTAGTAGAGTCCGCTCGTTTTGAAAACAACACGTCGCACCGACAAACCACTCGGAAAGCGGCAAATAAATGAAAGTGATATTTTGATACTTGTATTCTTTCAATCATACTATTCCAGAATACAATGTTTTCCCTAGCAAATGTACGTAGATTACATGTTAATTATTACGGTAGTCAATTATAATAACTTATTATTTGTGGTTCAATAACTAACAATTTAGACATTTTCTTTTCTTGATACTACCAGTATTAACTGGAAATCTGTTATAGTAGGATTTACCGTTGGTCAGTTTTTATTTGAAAATTATTTGGATTACCGCCAATACCAAGTCTTAAAGAGGACAAGTCCTCCAGATACTTTAAAGGCAGAAATTTCACAAGAAACATTTGATAAATCGCAAGACTATTCCCGTGCTAAGGCTAAATTTGGTTTCATTTCTGATTCAATTAATCTCTCCCAAAACTTAGCTATTATTAAGTATGATTTGTTACCTAAATTTTGGAATATTTCTGGGACCTTAATGGCTAAAAGTTCTTTTATTCTTCCAAAGTTCATGGGAGGTATCATTACGCAATCGTTATTTTTCTTATTTTCCACCCAAATTATTAGTACAATTGTTTCGCTTCCATTGTCTTATTATTCTAACTTTGTTTTGGAAGAAAAGTATGGTTTCAACAAACTTACTGTTGGATTATGGCTTACTGATAAGGTTAAGGGTATTGCTTTGGGTATTGCACTTGGATCTCCTGTTGTTGCTGCTTTCTTGAAGATTATTGACTACTTTGGTGATTCATTCATCTTGTATACTTGCGGATTCCTTTTTGTTGTTCAATTGGTCGGTATGACTATCTTCCCAACCTTAATTCAACCTTTGTTTAATAAATTTACTACCTTAGAGGAAGGTGAATTAAAAACAGCTATTGAAAACTTGGCATCTGAACAAAAATTTCCATTAACTAAATTGTATGTGATTGATGGATCAAAGAGATCTTCTCATTCTAATGCTTATTTTACTGGTTTACCTTGGAGCAAGCAGATTGTTTTGTATGACACCTTAATCAAGCACTCAACTAAGGAAGAAACCGTTGCTGTCTTGGCTCATGAAATCGGTCATTGGAAATTGTCCCACTTGCCACAAATGTTATTCTTCTCCCAAGCTCATTTGTTCTTAAGTTTCTCTATGTTTTCTGCTTTCATCCACAATAACTCTTTATACTCGTCCTTCGGGTTTACCTCCGTTCAACCAATCATGATTGGATTTATGTTGTTTAACGACATTTTCCAACCAGTTGAATGTGTTGCACAATTTGGTATGAATTTATTATCGAGAAAGAATGAATATGAAGCAGATGCATACGCTAAGAAATGTGGATATTCAGATGATTTATCCAAGGCATTGATTAAATTATTGAGTGAAAACTTATCAACTATGGATGCCGATTGGTTATACTCCTCATACCATCATTCCCATCCAATTTTATCTGAAAGATTACGTGCCATTGGTTATGTTTCTAAAGAAAAGATCGGTAAGAAAGATGAGTAGATAGTTTATGGTTCGAATATAATTATATTTATCGCTTCATCTATTATACACATATATATATATACTAAAAATATCTTTTGTTAACATAAACTCATTAATATGTAGTGCTTCTTTTAAATTTGTTATGCAATTCATAATAAGCTGCTCTCATCTGAACATATCCTAAATGTATTTTACCTATTAAGTGATCAGCTAACCGCCTATCACTATCTAATCTTGATAAATACGCTCCACATTCTTCACACACCTGTAATTTTTGCTGTGAAGATTGTCCAACATTTTCTGCAATATTTCTAGCTGATTCGGCAAGCTGGTCTCTTTCTTTGCATAAGTCGTTCAATTTAACGCTTTCGAATAAACACTTCAAAGTTTCTTTTTCTTTAACTAGACAGTCAATCTCTTGTGTCATTAGACCTATTTTTGTATCCAAATTATCCAACTCTTTCGTCACCTTTGCAATCTTTTCCTTTTCTTCTGGTGTATGTTCCAATCGTTTCAAAGCTATTTCTATGTTTCGATCTATTTCATGAATATAAGTCTGTAAGTGCTTATAGTATTCATATTCAAATTCGGGGAATGTTTCACCTTTCTTTCTTGTCCTGTACTCATATTCCAACTTATGCTTTTCAAGATGTAATTTTGGACATTTTCCTAGGTCTTGCTTTGTTCCAATGAATAAATCATGAGGACACACTCCAACTAAAAAACTTTTGCACACCCTATGACTTGTCATTTCGGGATCTCTTCTTTTTACTACAGGTGAAATCAAGGCATCTTTACCCATTAATTGCTCTACGAGCTTTCTTTGTTCTTCTGCCATAGAGTTCTTCTTAATCTACGCAGCCACTACAATTAGCTTACTAAAATTGTAATTTTCATATTGGCACCAATGCCATGGTCGTGTATATTACATATCCCCTCTGTAAAGATCTTTACCCCATAATGCATTGAATCCTTGTTAAAGACATCTACCTTGACCAAATTCTAGATCGATACTTACTGTGGTGATATTTCTAAACAAATTTATACTGGCTTGCTCAGAAACGAAATTAAAGGGTATTAGAATTAAAGAAATATTGAGATCTATGATGTCATTTGAGGATAGCCGGTAATCTATATACAAAGATACCTCTATTTAGATTGTAGATGACCCAATGGTATATTATCAAGTAAAGCATTTATAGGGTAGCTATTTTTTATCTAATGTAACATTCGATTGGTAATTTGGCAATTATGACTTATTCTCTGCATGTTCCAAAATTCGCACTTATCAAATAACTGACTAGAATCACGAAAGATAACCACTCTATCCACTCTTTGAGCATTTTTTTTAAATTAGAAGAATAATATTACATAGAACTCAAATGAAAATATGAAGAAGTACCAGCTAATTGGACGTAAAAGAGTTTTCACTAAATCAAAGCCGAATGTGAACTATCCTACGGCGCATCTTTGCTCATTGCCTGTTGAGATATTGTTCGAGATATTTAATTGCTTCGAAGACGACTTAAAAGTGTTATTGAACTTATCTTTGGTTTGTAACAAATTTCACACGATAATCAACAAGAATTTTCTTTACAATAATATAATAATTACTACTCCCAGGAGTTTTTCCAAGTTTAGTCAAACTCATTTACCTAGTACATCTCATTCAATTACGAGAAGGTTTGGACATAATGAACCAAGTAATAATATAAATTTGGTAAAAACCGTTCATTTTAGAAACCCTCCCACCAGTTATTCAAGCAACCGAACGACAAAAATTGCTGGGACATATGATGTGGAAAGTGTTCGAAGTAGAGATGAACAGGTCAGTTTCGATGAGTACATCCATTCCTTTACAAGTTTACTTAAAGAAGCATATGGTTTAAAAACCATTGCTATAAGCGAAATATCGCCCGAGTTTTCATTTCCGAATGATATACCTTTTAATTCTTCTAGTGTGTTTTCTAGTTTCAAATCGAAAAGACCGTCTAGAATCTTAGGCAAATTAATCTTAAAAGCACAAAGCGGGTGGTCCATACCATTTAGAATCAGTCATATATCAACTTTGTTTAATGTTTATGATACAATAGATGAAGTGGTCTTACATAATTTTGTTGTTGATGATCTGAAATTGGCTTCAAATTCGTCTAAAATTGGTGGTATTAATAGGTTGACGTTAATCTCCAGCATTTACTCGAATAGTTTATCTAAGAAGGTACCTAATCAAAGAAAAAAATGTCCTGAAATATTTCTCGATGTCACAGAATTAAGGTTATTGAATATTTTATCAGGTAGCGATTTATCAGTCATTGATGTTATAAAGCAAAATGGCAAATTATCAAAACTAACTTTGGATCTTGATTCTCAAATATTCTATCTGATGGCAAAGAACTCTAATATGGAAAAACAATTCAATTTTGCTAGATACAATCTTTTTTTCAAATTGCTTTGTTCAGGTCAAGGATCTTATGCAAACTTGACTGAATTAGAATTAATTAATTTTGACCTTTTTGGTGCTTTTAGACATAAACATAAAGTAAAGGAAGAAGAAGAAGAAGGCGACGACTGGATTGCACCTCTGACAGACACTTTTGAGAATTTATTGGTAAATTTATCAACTATCCAGAACCTTACTATTGTGTTGAAACAAAGTCCGAAAAAGGTTCGTACCTGTACTAAGTGTGGTTTTACAGAAAGTGAGCAGCCAGATAAGAAAATTCTTTTATTGAATAATAGAGAATGGGCTATATTGCTACAGCCTTTGTTATCAGAAAACGAAGACTGTACAGTCAATATATTCGATCACAAGGGAAATAGAATCTTTGTAAGATCTAAATATATATGAGTATCGTTAGAGCCAAAGAGTAAATTCTAACACTATTAGATATACTAATAACTTACTGAGAAAATTATGAATTGACAAGGAAGACCCAGATGCTAAATTTGTTAATATTTTCTGTTTAATGATATCATTTGAATTGGTCATTTTAAACATGAAGTCAGTTTTAAGATAAGGTTTAACGTTATACTTACATTCATGTTTTGCATCATTTTTATTAGTCCTGATTATATCTTCCCCTGACATATGATCGAAGATTATTTCCATAGTATCGGCTACAGCATAGGGCTCTCCTTTATAATTTAAAATATTATAACTGGATACTAAATCATCTTCCTGAAGTTCAACATACTTACCTCTTTCAATATCAATGCCAGAATCAATGAGAGGTTTTGCAATTTTGGGAACAACTTTAGATATATCTATGTTCGAGTAACTTTTCTTACATTTCGGTAATGATGCTTTTTGGCTTCCTTTTAGATTCCCAAGAGTATTCTGTGTGAACTGGTCGTTGTTAATAGGAGTGAGACTTTCAAATTGGGATTTTAAAGCAATAAAGTCAGGAAGTACTTTTATATCTCCATTTTCTAATATTTCAACTAAACCATAATTATTTGGTTCTTGAGAATATTCATATACTAGTCCACCACTAAATATTTTATTCATGTTAGTTGAATATAATGTTTGTACTTCGTCAAACATTCTAGGAAGTACCTCATTGCATCCATATCTAATGATTTGTTAGTATTGATTCCTATAAACTTCGGAAATTTTTACATACTCTGAAAGGAACACTGGCCGAGAAAATGAACTGTAATCATCTGCAAGAATATTATATCCACTGGTGTAGAATGTTTGCTCTCCACACCATTGGTATGAATTTACTCCATAGAAATCGACTGAATGTGAAGTATTATCATCAATGCATTCAAGATATTCTGAGAAAGGGACCCGGTAATTTAAATCATCAGCTGCCGAATATCCTACAGGTATTTGGCGGGGTGAGTTATATTCAATATACATTTTAAGATCACGTATTAAGGCTTTAACATACGTCGGCGAATTCTAGAATCAAGTTAGTTTTCTGAATTATTTTGCCTTCTGTTATCTATACATACTTTGGCAGATATATTATCGTTGACGATTTCGTTTCCTGCGAAGAAACCGAGTGTATTATTATAATATGAAAATTGTTCCACTACTTTAAAGATATTTTTCAAATATTGATCGTTGTATGTTTTCCATGGCTCATTTCTATTTAAATGATGGTTAGGCAAAGGTGAGTTCACGTCAAGAACCAAATAAATACCTGCTGCAGCTAACATAGACATGCATACATCATGATTTAGATCTGTATTAATAGAATAAATTCGAATAGTCTAGTACTTGTTAGGATCCATTGTGTAGCTCTTTAAGTTGAATACATACATTGATCCCCAAATCTTGAAGCATTATTATATCTCGAGCACATTCTTTAGGATCCGATAAAGGATCCTTATCATCTGTAACCCCCGAAGAGCCACCCGGTTGGTAATCTACTCCTTTGATATAAAACTATTTTTTGTTAATTGAATTCATCATTGTATTAAGTTATAAAACATACTTGTTCTTGTGTAACGCTGTCAATAAAAGACTTCCCTCGTACTGTGATTGGGTGAATGAACCCCTCTATAGACTTTAGAAGTAGACATATAATAACAACAAGGTATCTCATATTGAACCATAAATTATGTTAAACAGAAGAAAACGTTGAGGAAGTAATATAATGCAACTTTAAATAGTTGCAAAAACATTGTACACAGAAGTGCAACTATAAAATTTTTTAAGTAGTGAAATGAATTATTTCATTAAAACATTAGGGTGAACGAATCAAAATATAATTATTTATAGCTCTTTTAATCAACAAAGGCTATATATGGATACTTCAACTAGCAAACTATATAGTAGTTGCTTGGATGAATATTTAGATAGAGAAATGTATGTACATAAAATTTAGGAGCATTTTAGACTTTAACAATCTGCC